GAGGCCGTGTGGTGGAGTCGGGTTCAGCTGAGGATCAGGAAATCCCAATGAGCGGCTTAACCAGAGTTAACTTTCTTGTCTATCACAGTAGCCCCAGCGGGCGGCCCGAGGCCAGGCGGCGCCCAGCTCCTCTGCCCGCTGTTCTCAGGGCCCGCGGCCACCACAGGGTCCTGAGGCCTGGACCACATGCTTCTGTGTCTGTGGCCACAACCCGGGGCCCGGTGCTGAGCTGCAGGAGCGGGGCGGTGCGGGGCTAGGCCTGTGTAGGCTGTGTCCACACAAAACATCGAGGCGGGGGTGGGCCACACTGGCCTGGGGGCTTGTCGATGCTGCTCCGGGTTTGACCTCAGAATGACCAGCCTCTGAGCCAGTGGTGCCAGAGCCCTGTGTGGCCCTGGGGGAGGGGGGGCGGGAAGTGCCTGGCCTCGAAGGGACGGCTCTCTCCTGGGCCCGGGGACCGGAGCTCCCAGCAGCCCCCAAGGCGCTCCCCAACGCGGGCTGGAGGGCTTCCCCGGAGTCCCCTCTGCGCACCCCCTCTCAGCACCTGGGCCTCTGCACCCCACACACCCCGGTTCTTGTCCCCTCCTGGTGCCCTAGCTCACATGACACTTGTTGGAAAACACCCCAACTCTGGCAGGTGGCTTTGCTGGGGCCTCCCGTCCCCGGAGCAGATCCGGGGCTCCGTGCTGCCCTCCTGGCGGGGCTGCCCCCACGTGAGTGCCGCCACATCCCTGGCTCTGGGGGCTGGCCGAGGGCGGGCACACCTTGGCCAAAACAGCTAAGGCCGAGGGCAAAGGTCACAGGTAGCCTGGCTTGGCCTTGAACTGCCTCCCAGCCACCCGGAGTGGAGGGCGGGGGTTGGGGGGGCGGAATCTGCTCCCATTCACTTGGGGTTCTTTTCTGCCCGGGGCCTTGTCCTCACAGCCACCGTGTATTGTCCGCCCAGGGCCCCCCTTGTCCCGGGAGCCCAGCCTCATCGAGCTCAGTCCCTCTGCACACGGAGGGAGGTCAGGTGTACTGCCCAGGTTCACAGCGGGTGAGAAGGTCGGTCTGGCCGAGGGCACGTGTCCCAGGAGGCTGCTGCTCGGGCTGCTCTGGGCTCCCACGGGCCCCAGAAGAGCTTGTGATGTTCATGGCGGGGTCTGCGGTGCAGCAGCGGCTCCTGAAAAAACCCAGGAAGGGCCTGCTCTGGGGCCGCCTGCCCTGCCCGGGAAGCCCACCCGTCACCCCCGGGGCAATGCTTCTAGAACATTGCTGGGCACCCTACCCATCTCCTGGGCGCTTGGTCTTCAGGCGACCATGGCTTCACCTGTGGCCTCCTTTGGGGACACAGGGTCATGAAGTTGGGGGCTGGAGGATGTGGGACAGGGACCGGGGCTGTGTGACCAGGTCCCAGGCCAGCGCTGCTGCGGGGCGGTGGGGGCTGGCGTGGGCGGGGGGCGGGGGGGCCTGGTGGGGGCTGGCGCAGGGGGAGGCCTGGGCAGGGGCCGTCGAGGTGACATTGCTGAGGTTCCCGCTGGGAGGGAGGCAGAGCACCCCGCCTGCTGCTGGTGGGTGGGGGGCTCAGGGGAGCCATGGAGTCTTGCCGTTGGGAGCTGGACCCCTCGCCGTCCCCGAGCCGCTGCCCCAGCCCCTGGTTGAGAGGTGGGCTCTGGCCCGTCCTGGCTCCCGGCTGTGTGGCCGTGGGCAGGTCACTTAACTGCTAAGCCTCGCCTTTGTCATCTGCCGGGGGGGTATAGTGAGTGCATGGCCTGTGGGGTGACTGTCCGACATGCTGCTTTGGGGGAGCCCTTGGCGCACAGCAGGGGTCAGCGAGGGCCGTCCCCACCACCTGGCTGCTCTGCCCGGGGCCCGGGGCACAGGGTGGGCACTCGGAAACGCCTGCTGTTGAAGTGACCACACTCCCCTCCCCACCGTGTCCGCAGGGAACCGTGGGAACAGGGACACGGGAGGGGAGGAGCGGGCCCACGTGGGGGGCGTGGAGGACGCCGGGCCTTCCCCTCGGCTCACGGAGTCCGGCCGTGGGCTTTCAGCTGTGGGAGTGCAGCCCCGTGGCAGTGTCGGGCTGCTGCCTGGAGCCCCCCTGCAGCTCCCGATCACCCCAAATGCCGTCCCCCCTGAGCCTCTGGTCCTGGGAGCACCACCCAGCTGGGCAGGGAGGCCATTTCCCAACACCATGCGCCTGCCGCCTTTCCTCTGTGCCCGGGGGGAGCGGCGTTCTTGTTTTGACTGGCACTGCTTCCCGGCGAGATGGGGCTCTCTCCACGTGTGTGGACATCTACGTGTTTGTTTTGTTAAAGTGTTTTTATTGATTTTAGAGAGAAAGGGAGAGGGAGAGAGATAGAGATCAATGATGAGAGAATCACTGATCGCTGCCTCCTGCATGCTCCCCCCGACCCCGGGGATGGAGCCCTGACCGGGCCTGTGCCCTGACCGGGCATCGAGCCGTGACCTCCTGGTTCACAGGTCGATGCTCAGCCAGGAGCACGCGGGCCGGGCGTGTATCTTTGCTCTGTGAATGGCCTGTTGGTCCTCCCCTCGCCCCCTCCGGGCCCCACGGAGACCCGAGACGCTGCCTTTGGCGGGTGAGAGAACGGAGGGACCCGAGGTGCCCAGGCCGGCGGCTCCCCAGGGCCCGCGGCAGGTGCCGCCCGAGCCGGCCGAGGCTGACAGCTCTGAGGAGAAAGGCCCGGCTGGGCTAACGGCTGCGCCTCCCCTGAGCCTCAGTTCCCCATCTGCAACGTCAGACCAGGAGACGTGCCCACTGTCCCCGCAGGAGCTGTTCTGTGGGGCTCCGTGGGGCGCGGCATCGACTCCACAGCTCTCTCTCCCCGTGACCGTGACCGTGACCGTGACGCGGGGAGGCCACCTTCCCGCCGGGTCTTCTCTGGGGAGGACCTGGCCCTGCCCCGAGGCTGCCGGGCGCTGCCCACACGGCGAGCCGGGGCGCTGCCCACACGGCGCCTCCCGGGCCTCTCGCGTGCTCCCCACTCCGTGCCAACGCTCACTTCCTGGTGCGGCACGGCTTGGAGGGGCCTGTCTCCTGGTGCGGCACGGCTTGGAGGGGCCTGGAGGGTGTGGGCTCGGGCCCTGCAGCCCCCTTCCAGCGGGGTCCCCGCTTGCTGAGCGGGCAGGGGTGCGGGCCGAGGGCTGGGCGGCCCCTGGGATGCAGACGGGGAAGCAGGGCCCCCCTTCGCTGGGCATCTGCCCCCGGCGGCCTTGTTTCCCTCTTGTCTGGTCTCGATGAGGGGAGGCAGGGCAGCCTCCCAGCTCCCCTGGGAAAAACGCCGTCGGCCCCTGGAGCCAGCCCGAGAGAGCAAGGGGTCCCCGGTGTCTCCTGTACCCCTCCCAGCGGACCTCTGCTCACCAGCACCCTCTCCCTCTCCCCTCAGCATCATCAGCTGGTTCGTCCGGTCCTTCAAGTACCTGTACGGCCTCCGCTTCGACGTGAAGGGTCGCCAGCGGCTGTGGGTGGACCGGCCCTGCGTCATCGTGTCCAACCACCAGAGCATCCTGGACATGATGGGTAGGCGCGGGGCTGCGGGCCTGGTCCCCCGGGAGGTGGGGCGGCGGTGGGCCCAGCGGAGCTGGCCGGGGAGGGGCTGACACAGGCCTCGAACTGGGTAACGGCCACAGGCCACAGGGGCCGTGGGGCCCCCTCTGGCCGACAGCCGGGTGCTCTGTCCACCCCTCCCTTCCAGGCAGGAGGCTGGCTCAGGGCTAAATGACCCTCCTGGGTGGCCGGCCGGCCGGCGGGCAGGCGAGACTCGAGGCGAACCTGTGGGTGGTCCGGGCGCAGGGCTGCTCCCTGCTCCTTGGGGTGGCGGCCCCAGGTCTGAACCCCCTCCTCCTCCCGTGACCATGTGACAGGCCTCATGGAGATCCTGCCCCCGCGCTGCGTGCAGATCGCCAAGCGGGAACTGCTGTTCACGGGCCCGGTGGGCTTGATCATGTACCTGGGGGGCGTCTTCTTCATCAACCGGCAGCGCTCCAGCACCGCCATGAGCGTGATGGCCGACGTGGGCGAGCTCATGACCCGCGAGAACGTGAGTGGGGCCCGGGCCTGCGGGGCGGAGCGTCGGGCTGCGGGCGGGACGGGGCAGGTGTGAGAGCAGCCCCACAGGGCAGCTCCCTTGGCGTAAAAGCCACGTCGGCAGCCCCGGCCTGTGCGGCTCAGTGGCTGAGCGTCGACCTGTGAACCAAGAGGTCAGGGTTCAATTCCCGGTCAGGGCACAGGCCTGGGCTGCGGGCTCCATCCCCAGTGGGGGGTGTGCAGGAGGCAGCCGATCCATGATTCTCATCATTGGTGTTTCTATCTCTCCCTCTCCCTTCCTCTCTGAAATCAATAAAAATATACTAAAAACAAATAAACAAAACGCACATCGTCGGTGCCTGTCTGCAATGCACACAGGAAGGCAGGGAGCAGGGCTGTGCTTTTGGGGGTCCCCACTGAGCGTGGGCTCCACAGGAGGGGGGCACGGCCTCCCCACCCCACTCCCCCTTCCCACAGCTGCCTCCTTTCTCCCTGCAGCTCAAAGTGTGGATTTACCCCGAGGGCACGCGGAACGACAACGGGGACCTGCTGCCCTTTAAGAAAGGCGCCTTCTACCTGGCGGTCCAGGCACAGGTGCGCAGGGACGCCCTCCCGGGGCAGGGGGGCGGGGGGCGCGGAGCTGGGCTTGGCGGTGACTGCCAGGTTAGGCGGGAGCCTCTGGCGCTCGGGGACCCTCCTCCTGGGCCGGTGGCAGGGCCTCACCACCCTCCACCCCTGGGCCCTGCCCTGATGCGGGGGTCCTTTTCTGGGAGGGGCGGTTTGTCCCAGAGGTGCCCTGGATCGGGGCTGGGTCTCCTAGGGGGTGAGGCCCCACCCCGCCCTGTGCTGGGGTTCATGTGGGGAAACATTGTCAGGGTCAGGGCGGCTATCCCCTGCCCACTGGGGTCAGGGTGTGGGTGGCGGCTTGTCTATCTTTCACCCGTGATGGGTGGCCTCTCTCGCCCCCTAGTGCTGGCCCTGATCAAAGCCACCCCCTTTCCTGCCAGCCCCCCTTTAATGCCAACCCCCCTCCCGCCGGCTAATGCCATGGGGGTGCAGACGCTGGCAGGTGGGTGGTGGAGCCCCAGGCTGGGGGCCGAGCCTAGACTGTGACCCCAGCTCCGTCCGTCCGAGCGAGGCTCTCCCACCCGCTGGGCCTGTGGCCCCCGAGCTGAGCCGGGAGGTGGAGGGCACCCTGCCAGGTGCCTGGGGCTGATGTCACTTCCCTGAGCTGGTGGCATGGGGGAGGGGTTGTGGGAAAGGAGGTGGTGGTGCTGGGACGGGGGCAGCCACAGCCTCGGCCAGGGGGACGGGCATCATTTCCCGTCATCGGGGGCCTGCTAGACGGGGGCTCCTTGGGTTCCCAGCCTGCCCCCCAGACCTCCGCCGGTGCCCAGTGCCCGGGGAGAGGTGAGGGCTCCCCAACCGCAGGGTTAATGATTAGCCCAGGCGCCATTTCCGACACTGCAGGCACCGGTGGACTTGATCCTGGTGGTTTCCGGGAGCACCAGCCCGGCCCTGCCCCCTCCCCTGCTGGTGCTGTCCCCCTCCCCCGCCTTCTGGGGATGGGGGGGAAGTTGGGGAGGGTGGTCAGGGCCCTGTTCCCCTAGGAAATCTTAGGACCCAGTGGGGGACACAGATCTGAATCAGGTGGACATGTGCCAACCTAGGAAGGCTTCCCGGAGGCGGCGACACGTGGGCGCAGGAGTACAGAATGAGTTTATGGCCTGGGGTTCAGCGTGTGGCAGGGCTGGGGCGGGACAGAGTGCGTGCCTGGCAGCCATGGGTGCTTTGGGCAACCCTGGGCGAGGTGGTAAGGCGGGCCCCCCGGGAGCTCGCCCTTGGGAAAGGGGGGATCGGCCCCTCTCAGGATGCTTGTCTCCCTGCGCACAGGTGCCCATCGTCCCCGTGGTGTACTCCAGCTTCTCCTCCTTCTACAACCCCAGGACGAAGCTCTTCACCTCAGGTAGCGCCCGCGCCCCTCGCAGAGGACAGTTCCCACTGCCGGGGCTGCCGTGGGCCAGACCCTGCCGCGCAGTGACCACTGGGGCGGGGGAGGGACCGGGGCCATGTCCCAGTGAGGGAACGGAGGCCCCAGCAGGTGGGTTGGGTCCAAGTTCACACACACAGGCCCAGGCTGTGCACACAGCTGGGGGCTCAGCGGGGGACAGCTCCTGGCGGAGGGGGCTTCCGGGCCAGGCCCCACCCCCAGGGCAGCAGCCTCCAGGCACCCCCATGCCACGGGCCTCAGAACTGGGGGCCTCTGCCCTTCCCTCCAGACCAGCGGTTCTCAACCTGTGGGTCGAGACCCCTTTAGCGGTCGAACGATCCTTTCACAGGGGTCACCTAAGACCATCCTGCATATCAGATATTTACATTATGATTCATAACAGGAGCAACATTACAGTTATGAAGTAGCAACGAAAATAATTGTATGGTTGGGTCACAGCATGAGGAACTGTATTTAAAGGGCCAGAAGGTTGAGAACCACTGCTCCAGACCCTGCACCTGGTCCCCAGGTGGGAAGGTGTGAAGGGCAGCGGGGGAGGACCCCGAGGATGGCATGGAACGGGGTGGGCTGCCTGGGAGGGGCACGGGCACCTTCTGGGGGGCGGAGCTCTGGGCCTGGGTGGTGCTGAGAGGGAGGCGCACTTGCCCTGCCCCGACCCCAGTGTACAGGCAGGAGCCAGCGCGCCCGGGTCAGTTACTGTA